TTTCCATAGGGCTGAAAGATGTTCTGGAAGATCAATTCAGACAGTCTGTCAAAGTCTTTTGAAAATCAAAGAAGAGAAGCCTATTATTTTTTACACTGTTCTACAATTGCTAGCACAAATATCTAGTCCATCCAAAGTGTTTTAGAGCCTCAGTTCAGCTTGTTCTCTGTTTTGCRTCCACTGCCACGTTATCTCCTTCAGTATCACCCCACAGAAGCCTCAGCCCAGTTGGAGTATTCAGTGAGATCACTCTATTTAGGCATTTGAAAAACACTTCAACATTTCCACTACTGAGGAAAAATCTCATTTTCCCAAGCTTCATTAAATAACTCCATCAGTGTCATTAAACCGGTGTTGTCGAGCGTAGTTAGCACTTYTGAAGGGATTTGATTGATTTCCATCTCCTGGGTGTTCTTCAGCCTCTTGCAGATTGTGTTAATGACAAGTTAAGAGTTCCCAACTTTCACTACAGTTTGACATTAGAGTTGTCTAGAGTAGTTAAAAATTTCTTTTAGATGATCTGCACATCTGTTTTCCCTTCTGTATTAGCTCCGAAGTTTTTCCCATTTTGACTTTGGCACATTTCCTCCATTCACTTTCCTGCTAAATTGCTTGCATTTTCCTGCTAGAGCAGCAGCATCTGCTTTCCCTGATACCTCTTCCAGCTTGCGCTATCTTTCCTTACAATATTTATCAGTAGGAGTTGGCTTTTGTGCCTTCTTCCAAAATTTCTGTTACTGTTGTTACCGTTTTGCATTCTTCTCTCAGCAAACGGTCACATTTTCTGTCTGATTTTCTCCAGTTACAACTCTTGGAGTTAAATGTCACTGCTGCTGGGCTATGCCTGTTTTTCCTAGCCTGTTACTTTCACCTGTGTTTGGCAAAGTCTCAAATGAATTCCTCAGTATTGATCCGAGATTTTTCACAGCATCCTTCTGTAGTTCCATTTCGTACTGTTTGCCAATGCTGATTACTGCTTGAAATTGCTCCTTTTTAGTTCCATTCACAGGYTGGCAATGCCAACATTTTGCTCAGTACGACCCTGACAGCTTGGCATAATTGCCTCTCAGAAAAATGACTCTCTGATATTTTGTTTTACCTTCTATCAAATACTAACATGCACGTCTATAGTATCACATCTCAGGTCAAAACTTGCTATTAAAGAAGAAGAATTATTAAACAAGAACAGCATGCAGTGATCCTTCCTGCTCCATTCTCCTAGCTTCCAACAATAAAACTGGAATTTCACCAAAACCCATTATGTTTGAACAGTCAAGAAAGAAAAAATCCATGATGTAATTCTTCCTAAACCCTCTTGGTGAGGATTTAGGCTTTAGGCTTCCAGCTCCATTGTAAAAGGAACAGTAGACATATGTTCACACGTCATCTTCTCTATGCCATTCATGGTTATACACTATATAGCATCATTCTAAAGAGCATTTTGCAGTGGACCTTTGAAAAAATGCATGTATTCTCATACTGCATCTTCAGAGAGCTATAAATACAGGACATCACATTCCCTCAGAAGTCCATTTCTCAACACTTATCCATGTACCTACTAGTTCTAGTCTTTCTCATTATTTCTATGCATTTGTTAGCACAAGTCAGACTTACCAAAYATTAATTCTCTACTTGAAGTCTTTTTAAATGTGGATGTAACATTCCCTATCTTCCATTTCCCCTCTACTGCTAATTAATATAAGCAGTAGCTTAATAGAGTAATTTTGTAGAGGGTTCTTTTAGAAGTCTTGGGTGAATACCATCTGGATTTGATGATTTATTACTATTCTTTTTTGTCAAGATCTTTCATTCACRGAACCACTTTAGCTCTTATTTACCAGGTTTCTCTGTAGATTATTATTATTATTACATCCTATATTAGTAATAAAGACCATGTCACAAAGGTTAAGTTGGATCTTCACATTCTGTCAATAACCCTTTAGAAGCAATTACTGAAAGTGTCCTTCCCATTGCCGTGTTCTCCTTTCGGAGCAGAGTGGTAGATCCTTACCAACACTTTTAGCAACTGCCTTAGATCCGGCAAATATTCTGCACTGCTGATGAACCTGAAGTTGGGAAGTGACTCTTCCACAGCAGTTTCTGAGTACTGCTTGGTCTTCATATGTGTAATCATTGCAATCTGAATAGGAGGAAGTATTTTCAAAAAAACTCCCCATCTGCATCTGCTCTTGCTGAATCGGGATTTGGGGATGAAGGCTGCCAATTCCATCATGATCTGAAAGAATGCTGTGGTCTGAATTATCTTGCTGTCAGAAATATTATGCTCACAGCATGATAGTCAAGATGCCTGAGGTGCATTTAGCTGCCAGACTTAAAAATTTCAGGACTCTGGCTTTTTAAAATTAATTTTCAYGAGCAGAAGCAGAGAGCCATGTTCTCTTTTGCACAGTCAGTTTTCCTAGAGCAGTAACTACTCCTTTCCCCAGTTCAACAAACCTTTGATCAGCAGCTCTGCCAACATCCTACACGGCTACACTTCCCTCTTTCCAGCACTGGGGCCTGTAGAGAGCATTTCTTATCTCTAAGCACTCTATTTTGCCTTTTTTGCAGACTTTGCAGATGGCTTGCTAATACGGCAGCAGTACATAGTTCTTCCTGGGAAAATTCAAAATTAAAAGTTACTTTTGCTAAACTAWTTGAATATTGTAGTCGTGTATGTGGGAGGCAATGCCCTTCTCCGGTGCCTACTTACAACAATGCATGTGAGCAGCTCGTGGTAACGTTAATCCCTCACACATACATTAACCTAATTCAGCCTTGTTCCGCTAACAGTTAGGAACAACTCAAGAGTACAGATATATTGAATATTTCAATAGCTTTTCTTTCATTTTCATGACTTTCCCCTCTTGGTAAAGAGAACACATCCAGTTACCAGTTTGGCTCATTCACTCCAATTTTCTGTCATTATCCAATGTAACCCACAGTTTTCTCATGCAAATACTCATTGTTCTGGTTATGTTTGCCCTTCATACAGCTCCTCATTTCATGTTCATCACACAAGATCTTTTTCTTTTTAAAATCATGCTGTACCAATAAGATAAAGAACATAAAAGGAACTCAAAAGAAAGCTCAGCTGAATGACATGAAAAGCAATGGAACATTTATTTTCGTTTTCTATTCTTTGAAAATATTGATCATTCAGGAAAAGATTATCAATCACCATACTATTTTTTTTTGTCTCTTCATCTTTTCCTTGTGAGATATATATAGAGAGAACAAAGTCAAATATTTTCTAAGATAGTCAATTTATAATTCAATCTATCTCTGTTCAACTGAGACAAATATGTCTACAACACAACTCTTTTCTGTCTGGAGAAAAACAAAAGAGTGTTTTGTTTAATGTCTAGTTTTCATTCAGATGTCACTATGAATCTCTAAAYGTTTTTTATAAACATAATGGTTTCTTTTTATAAAGACTGGAGAATTCTTTATAAAGAAGGAAAGACACGTTGAGATCTCGGTTTGCTTTGGTATTCCATATTCAACTCCTTCCTGGTTCTTTGTTCACAGTTTACTGTAGAGGAACAGTTGATCACCACAAAAGTATTAATGCACCTTTCCCTACTATCTTTTTTATGAAATACATGATTTCTATAATACAGCAGTAGACATGGAACAAACTTGCAGTAGCTGGATATGAAATCTTCTGCTTTGTTCACTTTGCAGGCTTACGGGATACTTCTTTTCATTATTTTAACACGGCCATGTGTTAAAACAGACTAAGCACACTTAACACAGACTAAAGTCTCACAGCACTGGAATGAAGTTCTTTTGCTTATTTAATATTAGGCAACTAAAGAGATGCTTAGAACAGACATTCCATAATGAAAAACCTTATAAATATAATCAAGTCCTTAACTTGAATCAATTTCTGTATTTTCATTAAATACTCAGCCTCTATCAGAAAAAAAAAATGTACAGTCCATGATTTCCTGCCAGGATATTAAAATGAGACACATTTCTAATACACTGTAGGATTAGGAAGTTTGTAGGAACAGGTATTTCAGAAAGCAAAATGGAAATGCTTATCTAGTCATGGAACCTGGATGAAGCTATTAATTTCAACAATATCATTTACCATGTGCACACCTACATCCTCCAAATGTAGGTAGTGATTCCAATCCTTTTTTATTTTTTTGTAAATTGCAAATTTTCAAGACTATTCTGTATTTATCAAGGCAACAGAATGATTGCATGAGATAAAAAAATTGCACATAAAAATATTTTGAATGAGGTAAGATGAAACATAACTGTACATTGCACCACTATTTTTCAGATACTACTAAATACGTTCCTACTTTCAAGAAAAAAAAAAAAAAAAAGGAAGAATTAAGTTTAATTTGTCTGTGAACTATAGCTATTTGAAAAGATTTCTCTTTGATGTAATTGTTATTCCTATATCGAATATAAGTAGTCAATATATATCTTCTCTCAAATACATTGAAGCCAAACATCCTTCCCAACAGTGGTAAAACAGATGGAGACTGCCCAGGGAGGTTGTGGAGTCTCCTTCTCTGGAGATCTTCCAGACCCACCTGGCTGCCGCCCAGTGCCCCATGCTCTGGGTGTCCCTGCTGGAGCAGGGGTTGGACTAGATGATCTCCCGAGGTCCCTTCCAACCTCAAACATTCTGTCATTCTGTCTCTCTATGCCTTGAGTACCTACCTGCATGATCAGCCTGATTTTCTGAAATGACTTAGGACACCRCAGATTTCCTTGGTTTATACCAACYGCCTGCAAACGTAGGCAGGTTTCATTAGGAGCCACAAGTTGCTCAGCAATTTTTCAAACATTACCTCACTTATTTAGCCCATCACCTCCACGCCCAAAGTGAAGCATTCCCGTTTGGCAATCCTATTCTCCCTGAAAAAGAGTCARGTTCTTCAGCTGATTCTCCAAATGAGAAGCTTTTTACCCAGCACAAACGAGTCAGTATCACACTGTGAGCAGGAAGATTAAAGTAACACATATCTCCCTACCTTTGCCTTGCGAAAATGGTAGACTACCAGCATGCTTATGAAGTCGAGCAGCATACAGAGCGTTTGGAAGGAGATGATAGCGAGCCGCAAATACTTGTCCTCCTGTGCATAGCAGGGGGTATCATCTGTGCAGTAGGAACATCCTTCCCTGCAGGGCAGGCACGTGTAGACTTCCTCCGACAGCTCCCCACCAGGGAAGCGGTTATCCGCGTCCTTTCCTGAAAATACCAAATGGGGCAAGGAGAAGCTTTGAATTGGACAGTACAGGCAGTTCGTCATAGAGAAGCTAAACAGTTCCCTGCTTACTCCCTTTATTTTCCCTCTTCCCTTTCATTAAGTTACAGGAGGGTTATCCAGGGCTGCTTTTCCATCTCCTCTCCTTTTGCTACATTCGGAAAAGGCAAAACAAATCAGCCATGAGCTTGTTAAATGCCAATTGTTTTCCCATTGTATTGAAAGGGGGCTAAAATTGCAAGGTGACTTGTGAATGGGTGAAAAATTACATCATTTGGGAAGAAGGAAGGGATTTTACACAGACTTGTGGAGAGCAAACCTCATTAACTACTTCATGTTCACAGTACAAGCTCTCATCCTATTTCAGATTGCTCCTAAATCTCATAAAGATGGTTCCTAGTGAATTAATTAGCTCCAMATTAGATAGAACCCTTATCAAGCCATATTTGGTCAGCATACTGCTTAATGATTACACTATTCTGTGCCCACAGAAAAGCTAGTGCATTTATATAAATCTTCCACTGTTCCACAATCTTCCACTGTCCTCACAAGCATACCAAGGAATGCTCAAAATCCTCTTGGCAATATTTTGTCCATGTAAATTCATGTAAAAAAATCCTGCTCATGAAAGTGACCCCCCCAACAGAACACATGGGAGAATTCCTGTTTTTCCTCACCCATAAATACTTGTTCATAACCCCCTGCTGGTTACCTGCTGGTTTGGAATGGAAGGAAGGAAGGAAGGAAGGAAGGAGGAATAGTGTTAAACGAAAAGGCAAGATGAACTTGCTGAAAATGTGCAATGTGAGGAAGACAGGTTTGGGAATTTCCAGGTTTATCAAAATGCATTCATGCTAATTTCCTCTTTTTCACATGACTGCAAAATTTCTGCCACATCTTTGACCAAAATTATCTTCCACTGGCAATGAAGGTAATAAATGTTGTACTGCTTAGTCTTAATTCAAGAGACAGTGCATTTCAGTGACGTTACATATGCCTGTTGGCTTATAAAACACTCTTTGGGCTTTTACCTTGAAATGTTTGAAACAGAGGGTTATCTGCATGGGTAATCATGTCTTCATTTCTCAAAGGCATGTATCAGTGTGCACATCTGATAGACAAAGCTAGGGAAAGGAATAAATAGGCTGTATTTCCAGGTCTGTTTATGCAGTGGTCCTTGGCGTAAGGGTGCTCCTTGTGCGCTTCCCGCAAGGGTGCTCCTTGCGCAGCAGAAAACAGGTATTTTTCATTAGGAGTGTGGAATGTCTTTGGAGTCTTACTCCAAACAGAGATATTGGAAACCTGAATATAGCAGAGTGCTGCTGACTAATGACAGTAGTCAGATTTCCTTAGGTACAACAGAAATTAGAAGAGATTTTTGTGATAAAGCAGAAATTAGAAGAGATTTCTGTGTCCCTTTGACCTAAACCCAGGCTGTAGGAAGTAGGAATGGAAATACTGGAAAATACTTGGGCATCTCCAGAAGATGCAGGCGCTCTTAGGAAACTGTCCACTAGTTTTTCAACTATTTTTTCAATAGGAGGGCAAGCCTTAATCTCATCTAACAATCATTTTTCCTCCTGCAGGTTGGGCATTTCTTTTCACTCTGCAACATCCCGTCTTTATCTGCTCACTAGCATCCAAGACCACCCATCTCTTCTATGTCTACCTTTATTTCTCTATTTTCTAAACTACTGATAGAGCAAAGGAACAGCACTGTCCTTCTGASAGAGCAGGAAGTCTCAGCCAGGTACTTCCCATCTCCACATCCAAATTAAGACTGCACTACTGAYGGTCAGAGTTTTCTATTTCATTCTTTCTACATTTACACTTACGGAAACCTACTTTTTAACTGTCCGACTGTTCCTTTAGCATTTCCATAATAAGAAGGAATTGCCCTTCAACTAGCCCATCTCCTAATTACATCACATTTTATCTCTTTAAATCTGACATTTCTGAGCTGTTCTTTAATGCTTTTTTACTATGCTAACTAAATAAATCAAAGTATTTTGAGAGTAACAACTTAAACAGTGAAAATATATAATTGAAAAATGAGATTTAAGAGTTTATTTAAATCAAAAGTATTAAATGACTATGGCTTAATAATTTTACCGCTCATAAATTTGGAATTCTTACTTTATTTCTATAATGTTTAGCCTTGAAAGCTGTTGAAAATAGATTATAATCCATTCTATCACACATTCTCTTATCTGAGTCATGCATGAAGTTTCTTCTTGTTTACATGTGCCATAAGCTCCAGGGTTAATAGCTGATAAGCAGTTGCATGTCACAGTAAATATCCCACGGCTGTCACTTCATGACATAACAGGTAACTTCTGCACAGATATGATGGCCACTGTAATGCTATCGTCAGCTGCATATGAAGAAAGATCAAAATAGGTATTGTATAAGAGATATCTATTGGATTTTTCACAATGTAAAGTTTTTTACAGTCTTCATCTTTTTTTTTCCTTTACCAGACTATAATAATCATCCTAATAGTGACATCTAAGAGCTCTTGGGAAAGAGCCAGTCGTTGCATTTACTGCTAACATGCAGCTTGTTGGGAAGGGAGTTAAAGCCCATCCATATGGGTGCCCTGCCTCGTCCCTGCGACACCACAGCAGCCACTCTCACACACTGCCAGGCCACAGCTTCATTGCTCCGTGCCTTTTTCTATTTCAGCTTTGATTCTATTTCAGAATAAATGTGGTTTCACAAAAAAAACCTTTTTTTTCCTGTCCAAACTGAAGATGCTGAGAGATTTCAAACTCTGGTGTTGTGCAGGGGGACCAACTCGAAGCCAGTCTCAGTCTGAAGCAGTTTTAGCACTGGTAGATATGGGACAGAATCAAACACTGCAGTCCTGATCCGGCGCTGCAGGAGTGAGACTCAAGGACAGGGTGAGGCAGACACACAGAACAAGACAGCAAAGGCAGTAGAAATGATAAAAATGAAAGGGGAAAGTAACACATAGAATTGATAGAAGGGAAGAATATGGACACAAAGTGATATGAAGGRTAATTAGGAAAATGCTGGAGTACTAGAAAAAGAAAACAAGAAGGGATCATGTCCCCTCTACTGTATTTTTTTTCCTATTTTTTTTCTCCTTGAAATCCCAGCCTTTCTCTTCTTTCTCACCAAACTTCCTAGGTAAGTTTCATGAGCTCTTCCTCACCTTGGGACTGTCCACACTGTGCTGGACTACAGGCATTTCAGGAAACTTAAGTATTTTGCTAGAGGTTGTTACAAAATGCAAAGAATGCATATAGTCACTCATTTATCCCTTCTGCCTATACTAATAATGCTGAAAGACAGCTACCTAAAGTGAGTCATTAGAAGAAAGTGCTTATTCCTGTACTCAAATGTTAATGAAAGTCTGTATGTTATTTCATACCTGAAATAAATATTTTTACATCAGTTTGTATTCTCAAAAGACACTCTGGAAAAAGGCAGTTACCCCATGCCCCACTAATGCCCAGGGTCCTCACTAAGCAAAGTGGCAACAAAAGATTTTACACATTTTGGCACTGCTGGTTCTTCYGAATAAATCCAGCTTTCAGAGGGAAACTCCTCTCCCATCTGACTTCCTTATGAGTAACAGAACAGTSTAAATTTCAGGCCCAAATATTTCCAGTTTTAAAACCTTCTGCTGCACTAATGCAAAGTCCTTCCCCCAATAAAACTCGATGACTTCAGTTCTGCTGYGTAACTCTGCTATGGTGCTCAGTCCCAAGATCATTTAGGTCATTTAGATATGATCTCATTCCAAGATATAATAACAYACTCAGCCCAGGTTTTGCATCACAGAAGCACAGAACTGCTTAATTTTTTTCTACCTACCTACCTACTACTCATTTACATCTAGAGACCTCCAAATCTTTTCCATTTTCTTCCTCTGGGGATATTCTATATTCTATATTCTATAAATCTGTAACGCTTCTACCCAGTTTCATCTCTCTCATCATCCGGCTTCACCAACCTGTCTCCACAGAGATCTTCAGGTCAGACAGCTTCTGTCAAAGCTGCTCTCAGGATTCATGTCTAGATTTTTTTTATTAGCATCATGCTGAATCCCTAGGCACTTTTAACCTTGTTATCCTCTACCTTTTCTTTTATTCAGAATACACTGGTGACAGCGCTGAGATGAACCACAGTTTCCATTATTTCTGCCATTACTTCACAGTCCTTTGCAGTCTCACACTTGCTGTCTCTCCGCACAGTGTTTGAAATCATCTACAGAGGTGGGCACACTCAGTCACATCTTGATTAATTAAAGCAGTTTCTTTTTAATGACTTTTCCCAAACTCATGTTTATGACAGCCAACTCCCAGGAATGAAAGGTCAGAGCAAAGTGATCCCATGCCATTTAATTACATCCCCTTAAGTTTCAGAGTAGGCAAATACTTCTGTGAGACACATTTTACTCACATTAGTCATTTAGAAGYCTAATATCCAATCAAAATGAGCCAGATAGGCTGCTCCATCTCTAATAAKCAAAGCAATAAGGTTATTTGCCTGGACAGGCACTTCTTCCATCTTAGGACAAACGCCTGAAGAGGCAGGATTGCCCTCCAGAGGAGCTATACTCTCTCCACCAACCATAAAGGAAGCCTAGATGACCAATACATGCCAAGCACCTACATTTTGGACAGCAAGCATGGCATAAAATGAATCCCACCCTTAATGATCAATGCTGTAACTATCTCTMGCTACATTATTTTTGTATGTTTGGAGGACTTGGTATGATAAAAATCTAAGAATGATTTTCTTATTCCCATTCAAGGAGTTAAATTCTGACTCTGTCATAACCCACTGCACTCCAGGAGCAACCAAGGATCAGCCTAGTTCTATTAAAAGATTCATACAGAGCCCAGAGAAATAATACTTACCCACCTTTCACTACAGTTCCTACTACTTTTTATGTAGAAAGGAGAGCTTATGAGCAACTAACACAGCAAGGAACCCTGGAAGCTCTATTTGCAGCCCTCGAGTTCACACTGAATAATATATTTAACCCAGTTATCAGGTACACAGTAACATGGGGCATGTTTTCACAACTGTCATGTCATATAATCCTGCACATGACTTCCCAGCCTAAAACACCTAGGTAAGTATTTTCATATTCATTTAAGCAGGATGAGTTTCTTCTCCAGTTTTCATCTGTTTCTTTTCAAACATGGTAATTTGTGTGAAACTGAGGAAAAAAAGGGAAAAACGTAATAGAAGGTGTTACAGCAGAGGTTCAAAATACACGTTAAGTCTGTCCAGTCTTCTCTTTATGGTATCCTTTTCATCTTGCTTTTAGGTAAAATTTCCCTTATATCTTAGTATTTAGGTTTTTAGAAGTTGCAAGGCGGGGAAATAAAAATAATTAGTTTTTATATCTAAGTCACTAACAAGAAAAAATGTATTGAAAATCTCAGGCATGTCTGCACAATAAGCTGGGCACCACTTCATCTACCCCAGCATAACCTGAGGTATCAGTGCCATGGAGCATCACAGAGGTGCAGATGAGTGCTCAGTGTTACTAGAGCTGCTTCTCTTCAGGAGCAGAAAGAGCCCTCAGGGCAGGACATAATGCCCATGATTCTGGACCAAGCTGGATGAAAGCTTCTCACTGCCATTCCCCTGGGGGTACATGGCAGGAAAAGGATGAAACATTGCCTTGATACTTGTGCTTGATCATAAAGGCCAGAAGTCTGTATTTCCCTATAGCAAGACTTCTTTTCATATTTTAAAATTTATTTACAAATCAAATATGCTTAAAGAGGGTGTGTTTTACAAGAGCCTCATGAGTACCACAGATGACAAACCAAAGGCCTGGAACTCCTTAAGTGATTATATAATCTCAGAGTTACAAACCACTGGGATTTTACTGTATAACCCTAGCTAGGATAAAAAGGAACCCTGCATTATTAATGCTCTCTCTGCTTTCTTTCTTTATTTTTTTTTTAATGCAAGCAAAGGCACTTACTCTGAAAGCTGTTCACTGAAAAGATGTTGGGATGATAGAATCCAGCCTTGCAAATACATTTGTAGGCTCCAAGCACAAATCCAAGGCCTTTAATTGGCATGCACTGTGAGAAAGGGAAAAAAAGAAAAGTAATGTAGATAATCATATGTCTTTATACTTAGATGTATTTTCAAGCATAAGAAAAACATTTCAGGACACTGGATACTATGAACAGACTTCTAAGAATAAATAAGAATAAATGTACCCATTGCAGTAAAGCATTATTTTCCCATTGACTTTTCTCATAGACATTTACCACTTACTTGTCKTTTTTTGTAGTTCCTCACCAGAAAACTGCAGTGACAGCTATAATCAAGCCTAGCTCACTGATATAGTGACCAAAAGGCAAATTTGGCTTTTGTCCCTGTGGACTGCCAAACCACACACCTCCTTCCCCAGTGGCCAGCCTATATGAACATCRTATCTTCAGCACAGCCCTCAACCTCAGGCCAGATCCCAAATCCTACCTCTAATATCTGTATGGAGATAACATCCAGAAAACAAGGAAAAAACTCAGACCCAGTCAACACTTCACAGCAGATCTAAACACAGCTCTGAGCATACAGGGCCCTTCTTGCCTGGTCTCCTTCACATCTTGCTGGGACACCAACCACATGGCTGCACTTTTCCTGAACGGCTCCCAGTTCCACGCATGGCTCCCAACAGGGTTTCTCCAGGCAGCCTTTCAGGTGGCTGCAGCTCAGGCTGCTGGGGAAGGCCGTGGGCCTCCACAGCCAGCCTAGAAGCTGCATTGGGCGATATCCAACCCACCCCTGGACTCACTGCCATAAACTGGGTAGATTCACATCAAAACAAAGCCAACAGTTCGTAGAAAAAAAAAAAACAGCTGTGGGCTGGCATCTGACCTAGGGCAAACAGAGCAAACGGATGAGAAGTGGGAGCTCATATGCTTCTTCCAAATTCCTGTGTTCCTTTGTCAAGAAAGTAGTATGTAACACAAGTTTTATCTTAATCCAGCTTTATTTCCACTTAATTTTTTTATCAAGATCACCAAGGAAAACTTATTGTAGCAACAGAACATCTACTCAGACCACTTCTCCACCATAAATACTCTCTGAGAGGAGTGTAAATGATTCAGCCCTGGAAACTCTGCTAAAAGGGTTTTTCACCAAGACTGCTTATTTCACTGTACCAGATCAAAGTATGCGACAGGACCAGGTGCTTTCCCATCAGTTCTTTCCTCTATGAACAACTGAACAAGTTCACTAAAATATTCTCTATCCTCTCATTTCCTCAAGCTTCACTTGCTTGTGACCATCTGTGATTTCAAAATATGCTTAAAATTCTGTCTGCAACTGGGAACAAGACRGAGAGGACAGTGCCTGAGAGAAGATGAGAGTTTCCAAAATCAAATGCAAACCAAGAGAGGGCAGGCTGCAGTGACCCTTAGGAAAAAAAACAACTTTTAAAATCAAATTTCAGCTTTGTTACATAATTCTGTGTGATGCTGGGAAAGCCACTTTGCTTTTCTTTGCCTCAGTTCCACAGGTAGCATCTTCTTTTTTCTCATCTTTTGCCTGGATGGGCAGAATCGTGTAYGTGTGTGTGTGCGCAGTGCCAAGCACAGCACCTCAGCGAGGGCCTTCAGGTGCTACTGGGAACAGCTAATCAGCAAGAAAYTGGCCTGTGGAAACACACTGTGAAAATTCATCCAGCCCTTGCATGAACACAGAAGTAGGAAAAAAGAAAGGGAAAACACAAGTCATTTTCCTTTTCACCTTCACCATTCAGAGATGTGTCTGTTGGCAAGCTGGAGGACAGGAGAAATACGAGTGGTATGAGTGTGCTTGTGAGCCCAAAGACAAGAAAAACTCTTTAACAAAGCCTAAGAGGGCCGTTAAAGAAGTAAAAAGAATTTATAAATTTTGAAATCTGAAGCATCTTTTAGTCCTCAGGCTTCAGGAAATGCATTTCAGGGGAAAATTCTGTTCTGGCTTCCTTCTTTATTACAGTAAGTTATACTTTGCTATAGATAATGCATTTTCCTTTGAAGCTGAGGAAAAAAATGATATAGCTTCTACTGAAGTCTGCACACGCTGCTGCACCTCAGCACCATATCCCTAATCCATTCTCACTGCACAAACTCTTCATATAAAAATCTGTCTGCTCATGAATCTGCTCTGCATTGAAATAAAGGCTTTGCTGATGATCCTGTCACACACCCCTTTCCCCCATATCACAGCAAATAAAAAGTTTATAACCTTTTGTTTTATTGTTGCTGACCAGTCTAGAACTTGAAAATGAATATTTCAAAGTTTCTTAGTGTCTTTTCCTTGTCTGGAATGTTATTCTTGTTACCCGTCTTTGATGGCAATAACATACAACTTAAGAGCTACAGGTCAAATTTTATTTCCCAAAAGTTAAGAGGAATTGCGTAGGTCCCAAACGCAAGCCCAAACCCAAATCCAAACCCAAACCATATGATGTTTCACCCTCCAGCTATCAAGCCTGGCCCTGCTGTACGCATTGCTGTTTCCCCTGCAGACTGCACGGGGATTTCAATCTTCCCTAAAATCTCTTCCTCACAAACCCCTAAACCTCACCAAACACAAGTTCTTTCATGTCAGGACATCAAATTTTGTTTAATATGACTAAGAAGCAGGCAGTATTTCACATATATTTTGAAATCKTCTTCTCTTCTAGGTTAGATTTGATCCATACAGAACTTAGCACAGAAAAAAACAGATGTGTGAAAAATATCCACCTCCGCTTAAGCGAGAAAGAGAAGCATGAACCTGACCTGGTTTCAGATTTTCAGCATGGAAGTAAAGCTGCATGAATAAAACCACCGTATCCCTAACTGTTTTTTAACTCAACCAGCAGCCATCACTTTTAAAAAAAAAAATGAATTGACCTTAGGTTAGACCAGGAGCTCCATTTATCCCTGTCTCCCCTCTCTGACGTGGCCACAGCAAGAAGCTAGGAAAACGGTAAAGGATGCAGGATCCAGGAAGACTGAGAGTGAGCCCTTCCTGAGTAAACCTTTTAGGCCATCACACTCCTAACCAGAATTAACTTTAAACTTCCAGCCACTACCACTTAAAGACTGCTTGGTTACAATGCAGATCAAGCCTATGATAACCTCTGCTAAGAAGGGATTACTAGTCATCTGCACAACAAACAGCRTATGTGTTCCAGCTGCCTGTCCCCCACTTTCCAAGCTGTTTTTCCAGCTTGGTAGTATTTGTATACTTTAATGATTCCTAAGTTTAATACAGTAGACTCAAATTATGAGTTAAAAAAAAAAAAGAGTATTCAAAGACTATTTTTCTTTAAATTGGTTACAAATAAATAGACCCTTAATCAACACAGTCACATCATCTAAACCAGCTGAAGGAGGTCACAGTCAAACTTCGCTGCTGCTTCTTATAAAGGACAAAGTTGGAAAAATCTRAACTAAAAGTAGAATATGTGTTAGAAAAAGTAATCCTTAATGTAAGTGTATGCAACTACTTTGCAAGCCTCAGCCAAATCTTTTGGCATRAAAGAGGTAATGGCAAAAATATACTAATAGTAACAGAAACTAGGTAGCGTTATGTTCTATATGAATTTTTAAAGCTTACATAAGCCACCAAATGAGTTTGGCCAGTGGCATTCTGGACCACTGGTTAAAAACACTAATTTCAGAAATACATACACAAAAATAGACTAAAAATGTAGCCAACCTTGACTCTGGTATCTCAAGTATTTCAAAGCACAGGAGAAGCTTTCAAAATCCATATTTTCACATGCATACAGTGATGAGGATGGTTTACTATTATGAAGTTGACTCCTTGTACAAAGCATAAAATGAGAATTAAGACTTGTTAGATAAACCTTAATGGAAATAGCACAAATAATGCCTCATTTCTTTGCTTTGGTTGGAACTAGCAATTAAGGAATTTCTCRAAAAGTACCCTATATGTAAGAGTCATTTCTTCATGGCTCAGGCAAGCAGCTGGAGCAGGATGCCATGCGCCGAGCCCCGCGAGCTCCCTTCTAATCTTGTTTACCATGTTGTCAAGCACGCTCGGGCCCAAAAATAAACGAAAGCAGATAAAAGTCAGGGAGTTAAATTCTGTCTGCTGAAGTCACCGACAGTTTTGCCACTGACAACGTTTTACACATTGTACTTTCTCACTTCATTTATGCGCCAAGAGCAGAGTTTAATTTGGAAACGTGTTTCCAGCCTCCACAGAGGTCAATAGTCACCACATCCRTGCAGGCCCTGTACACTGGCTCCTGACAGCGAGGGATTCAGCTGCGAGCAAGGCTCTTCACAAGCTTTTCCTCTTCAAACACATCATTTTGTTTCAAGAGCAAACGAAGGACTGGCCACTCCRTAACACACAGACCACAGTTACCTGGAAGGCCCCTGGAGCTTCTCTCTTTCTACTGAGTGTTAATATTTTGGAATTCAGACTTTAGCAGGTGTTTCCCAAGAGCCACGTACTTGTAACCAGACTGCACTGTTTAAATTCTCAGTCAGACAATGTATACCAATGGTCTTGTTCTTATGCAGCTTACAGCAAAGGTAGGAGTCRGGAAGTATTTGCCCGAGGTTCCTAGGGGATAGCTCGAGGCTTCCCCAAACACTCCACACTGCTTCTTAATACAACTCTAACCACATTAGTTCACAGAGTGAGGTTAAATATCAATGGTGAGGTGTCTCAGCTGGTCCACCGGAATAGCTACAACTTAGCTGTGAGTGTTAAAAGGTCTGATTTTTTAATAATTTGGCAGTCACATTAAACACAAACCAGCAAATGAAACAAGCTATTCATCTTAAAGTTCTTTACTGGGTGACTTTGATTACTATTAGCAAACCAAGAACAGAAAAGTTAATTACAAATMAGCAATGATGGCAAAAAGACCCTCACTAAATGCAAGAGATTGCAGAGTCTTTAATTAATCCCTATTACACTGTCGAACAGCCCAGTGACCCAGTAGTTTGTCTGAAGAATCTCAGCCCTAAGACACTCTCCTTGGTTCTCATCTTCATTACTCTCAAGACGCCAATGCCATCATATTATCAGGCAAATCTTCACAAAAATTCACAGACCT